TAAAAAAAATTAAAAATTTATATTTTTAAATAAAGAAAATTAAAAATTAATATTTTCATTTAAAAATTAATAAAATTAATATCATTAAATAAAAAATAAAAATTAATGTTTTATTTGAATAATTTTTCATAAATTTATTATTTAGATTATATTTTTATTGCACAATTTTAAATTAAAAGACATATTCTTAAATTAAAATAATGAAAATACACAAGGAAAGCCACGTCATCGATCCAGCAAAACATAATCCACCATATAACTCTCTGGGGATCACACAACCGCTGATGCAAATCTAATCCACGGATATAAGTGCATATGCAGGGCATGACTAGGATCAATAAATCTTACCGTCGATAAAATCCAATCCAACGATCCATGTAGTCCCCAATAAGGAGCCACGGATCGCAATTATTTACCGTTGATAACAGCCAATCGAACGGCTAATATTCTTCCTCAAATTTAAAGAACCGAGGAAAAAACACAAACCCCACACCTCCACATCCAATATATAAACATCCACCAGTGATAAATTTGTGTTAATAGGTTCTCTTTTGCAGAATTTCTCAGCTTTAATTCTCTTAGAATCTCTTTGCAAAATGTCGGGCCGTGGCAAGGGAGGAAAGGGGTTGGGCAAGGGAGGAGCCAAGAGGCACAGGAAGGTCCTCCGAGATAACATCCAGGGCATCACCAAGCCGGCGATTCGTCGATTGGCTCGTAGAGGTGGCGTCAAGCGAATCAGTGGCTTGATCTATGAGGAGACGCGTGGTGTGTTGAAGATCTTCCTCGAGAACGTTATCCGCGATGCGGTGACGTACACGGAGCACGCCAGGCGCAAGACTGTCACCGCCATGGATGTGGTGTATGCTCTTAAGAGGCAGGGCCGAACTCTGTACGGTTTCGGTGGTTGAGTTGATTTTCCTTTGGTTGTTTGGATTTCTGTTGTAAATTGATAAACCGATGGTGCTGTAGTTTTAGCTTCTTCTAGGTTTGGTTTCCAGTGTTTTGTTAGGATTCTAGTTCCTTCCTTCGGATTCATTTTGATGAATGTATTAAAAATTTCAATTCAAGATTAGTCATGTGAATTCGGCTTGAAATTCTATTAATTAGTGAATAATTGTGCCATTTCTCTGGAGGAGCTTCCCAGATCTCATTTTCTGGTATTTCTGCGTTAGGTGGTGTTTGGTTGTAGATTGTTAGGGTTCTGGTACCTATACTAAGCGGAGGTAGTTGGCTTAATGGGCTCGATGTCGCCCGCCGCGTCGTCGTGGTGGATTTAGTGTTCAAGGTTGTGTTTAAGATGCGATTTTACGGTGCTTTTTCTCTCTGCACTTAGTAAAAGTGCTAAAAGGATTATGATTGAAATTAATTTTAATGGAAGATTAATATAATTTAATAATTATATTGATGTAGGATATTTTTTCGACGTAATTCTTGGAACAACTTTGATTGTTATGACAGTGAAATACTTAAAAAATTGCAATTACAATTACAGGACCTTATGGCAATTCAATCACAATTATAACACTTCGTAATAATTCGGTTTACAGTAATTCTAAATGAAGCACTACTCGGCGGTTTTATTGTGGGCAACTATTTAAATTGAAAAATGAAATTCTTAGTATCTCTTTGTGTTAACTTCTTTACGGTGGTTTCGAACTTGACCTTTCGGTTAAGTCACGTTTATAAGGTTCATATTTTTTCTTCAGGCAACGGTTCGAATCAGTTTCATGATAAAAATGTTCAAAAAATAAAAATTTTTCTTTACGGTGGTTTCATGTCTCTTTTCATCATTCTTTAATTTGTGATAAAAAGAATTGTAAGTTTAGAAAAAAATTAATTGAAAACTTATTTTTAAAACTTTTTAAATAAATTTTATAATTTGTGATAAAAAAAAATTTACCTTTTAAATTTCAGTAAACAGTCTTTTTTCTCTGCTTCCTAACGGCAAAAGGTACCCATGTGCCTTTAAAGATTTCGAATTTGAAGTGTTTTACCTTTATATTTCAATATATGAATTTTTACTCTTTGTGATTTTTAATTTGAGAAAATAAGATAAAATTTAACGTCAAACGATCACGTGCTACACATACATCGTTATTTTCATTATAAATTTACATGTCAGCACCAATTTAAATATTTTTTAACATGTCAGCAAGTCCAACTTAGACCCTTTCCAACAAAATTTTTTTTTTCTTCCTCCCTTTCCTCTTTCCCTTTCTCTTTCTTCAACTTCTGCAAATCCAAACATCTCCACTAATCTCTACCCTTATGGCTTCATCATCATCATCAAATAACAAAACTCACAAAAAAAAAAAAAA